ATATATATATATATATATATATATTGAGACTGAAAAAATATTCATGTTTTCCCTTTATTTCCGTTGCTCGCTTCTATATGTGCAGTAGAATCATAAGTAACGACCCAATAATTTGAATTAAGAGACATTACAGCTTAAATCTTAAGATAAATAAAGAGATATTGGGAAATGGGGGCTTGGTTCCATTGCATAGCCTATATTATATGAAAAAGATGTGTAAATTCTTTTAGAAAAAATCTTTATTTGGTTTTTTTTTTTTTTTTTATGTGTAAACTGATGAAAACAATGATGAAATGAAATGAAGAGGAACCCTAAGAAGATGATGGGGCTAAGCTTAAGGTCTCAAAATTATTCATGTATTGTATACTTCTCATTGCTTTGAAGAGTTTACATGTGACCCTCAGCAATAAAGAGGTACTAGTATGAGATTTGTGCTACATGCATATGTCTTATTGTTTCATGAATTCATGAATATAACGAAATGAAAATACATAATCCAAATCCACAGCATAAACAAGATCAACTCATACATACCAACACCCGAGTTCTAGTACTCAATCGATGGTCATATTTTGCTTCTTCAAGTCCTTGTAAAACTTCTTTATAAACTCCTCCACTTTCTTGTTCACGATTCCGTTATCCTCCTCGGAGTCCCTCAAGGGGAAAGGCGAGTCCGTTATCCTCAGCTGCCTCACCAGCGGAGTCCTTCCAAACCCAGGCAACGCTGGCGATGCCTCCACCATAATCTCATTATTGTTCAGCATCTCCAAAACCACCTCATCCTCTTCAGACGGTGGCGCGTGAGTGCACGCGAAGAAGTTGTGGTAGCTGCTGGTGCTCTTCCTCTTGTTGAAGTGGAAGGGGAAGGCGTAGTTGGGGGTGCTGCTGCAGCTAAACTCGTACTCACGAGGTCCCACGTAGGATGGCACGTGAGAGTCGTGGGAGCGGTGGTGGTGGAACATGAGGTTGCCGAAGACCTTAGCACTGGCGATCTTCCCACGCTTAAGCATCATGTTGAGATCAACCATGAACTTCCTCTTTGTTATGCCCTTTCTTATCATGAAGAAAGCTATACGCACCATGTTGCATAATTTCTTGGCTATCACTGGTTGATTTTGCTCCATTTTCTTGTGTCTGTTTGGAAGGAGAGAAAGTTAGGAAGGAAATGGAGAGAAAGGAGAAAAGATTCCTGGTTGGAGAACAAGTGGGGGAGATGGAGGGTCCTATATAAAGGGGAGAAGGGGAGAAGGAGGGAAGGGACAAAGCAAAAAATTAAATAACAAAAAGAAAATGAAGATTGTACTTTAAATGTGAACTAGAGTAACACGAGGGTGCATAGATATTTTTGGGGATAGTTTTCAGTGGCTTATTTTAATTTGTACAGTGCATTATTGAGGTGGTAGACTTGATAAATTCAAGTTTATTACGTGTG